CAATTGGGATATAAAGTGAATAAATAAATAAATAAATAAATAAATAAATAAATAAATGGGGGAAAGTGAGTTCCAGGTCAATCTGGGCTATGTAACAAGACCTTATCTGAAAAAAAGAAAAATGTTGGAAAGAAAAAAGGAAAAGAATTATTTGGAGATGTAACTCAGTGGGAAAAGATTTTCATACTATTTGAGAAACCCTCTTTTGGGTCACAAGCACTGCAAAAAATAACAAAGTACAGCCTTAAAAAATGGTTTAGCTCGCCGGGCGGTGGTGGTGCACGCCTTTAATCCCAGCACTTGGGAGGCAGAGACAGGCAGATTTCTGAGTTCAAGGCCAGCCTGGTCTGCAGAGTGAGTTCCAGGACAGCCAGGGCTACAGAGAAACCCTGTCTTGAAAAACAAAACAAAACAAAACAAAAAAATGGTTTAGCTCTTAAAAGCATGTATTTCTCTTTCAGAAAGGACCAAGTTCAATTCCCAGCACCCATATCAGTCAGCTTACAACTGCCTATAACTCCAGCTCCAAGAAACTGGACACCTCTGGCCTCTGGATACCTATACACATGTGGCACATGTACTCATGATTGTAACTAAAATAAAACCCAGCTGAGCTTGGTGGCATACACCTTTAGTCTCAGCACTCAGGAGCCAGAGGCAGGTGAGTTTCAGGTCAGCCAGGGCTATATAGTGAGACCATGTCTGGAAAAAATAATAAACCAAAAAACATATATATCTTTAAAAAAACAATTATTTACTTTGACACTTTGACTCATTTACCTTAAACTTTTGTCATACCTGGGATTCTTCTACATCTGTTAACACAGAAATATTTACTATGCATTTTTTGGCTGACTTTGCAGTATGTAATGTGTTTACTTTTTTTTTCCATGAGGGGGAGTTTATTTAGGGTGGAGGGAAGAGAGCGAGAGGAGGGAGAGCAGAGAAGAGAAGTAGCGGAGTAGAGGCCGGCCATGACCACGTGGAGCATGTACCTACTTTTGAGTGTGGGGGACAATCTCACACTATGTAACCCTAATGGCCTGGCAATTGATAGTTAGCTTTGGCTGTTCTCAAACCTGCAAAAATCTTTGCCTTGGGTATCCAGATTTCTAGTATAGCAGGAATATACTACCACACCCACCCACTTACTATTTTGTTGTTGTGGTTGTTTTTCTGTTTTTGAGACAAGATTTCTCTGTGTAGCCCTGGCTGTCCCAGAACTCACTCTGTAGAGCAGGCTAGCCTTGAACTCAGAGATCCAACCACCTGCCTCTCCTTACCAAGTGCTGGGATTAAAGGCATGCACCACTATTGCCCAGTTAATTCATGTTTTTCAAATTGCTGGTTGTATTCCATACTCAGTAGCATCTTTCTTCTCTTGGCACCCATATGCCTAGAGAACTCCCAAAATCGAATGCTTCAAAAAAGCAAGTTTTTTTTCCATAAACAGAGACGAAAACTGGAACTTAGTTCCATTTTCAATCCATCAGTTAGTTTGGCTTTTCTGGTTCTGTCAATTCTGTGTCAGAGATTCTCTGGACACCATTTCTTTAACAATAACCAGATTAGTTGGTCCTCTTTACCTCCAAAATTCTGTCCTGTATCAAAATTCAGTTTTTTTCTTAATATATTGAGTCATTGCCATGAGCAAATAAGAATGTTTTGTATCGACGGGCAGTGGTGGCGCACGCCTTTAATCCCAGTACTTGGGAGGCAGAGGCAGGTGGATCTGAGTTTGAGGCCAGCCTGGTCTACAGAGAGTGAATTCCAGGACAGCCAAGGATGTATAGAGAAACCCTGTCTTAAAACACAAAATAAATAAGTACATGAAAGATAAGGTCTCAGGTATCCCAGACTTGTCTTGAACTTGCTTTGTTGTTAGCTGGACATGACCTTGAAGTTCTGATTCTCCTGCCTCTACTTGAGTGCTGGGATTAGAAGTATATTCCAGCACACCATTTTTTTCCTGGTGCTGTTATCTTGCCAAAAGTTTTGTGCTTTTTAGGCAAATACTTTATCAACTGAGGCACATCCCGTCTGTTGCTTTGTGAGTTTTCAAGGATGGGCTGTTTTGCCCTCCTTCTTTGCTTACATTTCACATAATGTGGAGCTCAGGACTAGCTTGAATTCACAGAAATTTTCCTGTCTCAGATTCCAAGTTACATGTATGAACCAACTACCACCATACCTAGCTCCACCTCAGCTAACTGCATTCTCTCTCTCTCTCTCTCTCTCTCTCTCTCTCTCTCTCTCTCTCTCT